CAAGCATCATTGACAATGGATTCCACCAAGTTTTTCAACTGAGACGATAGGTCGATTAGCAAGACCTTTAAAGTCTTTGATTTCAACAGCAAATAAGCTAGCGTCCCAATTCAACGAGGCTAGCTCGACTGGCACAGCAATTCTCAATTTACTAGAAAGCTCTTCATCTAAGTCTGGCAGCCTAGTGACAGTATCAGCTTTATCCTTGGCTGTTCACCCTCTATCATTGCGCAAGGCCAGTCACACAAGATTCCAATCCATAATAAACTCGTGCCTCATCGCAGAGAACTTCTGCTTCCCACGAAAACCGTGATTCATTTTTTTGCCGCATCGGAAATCGACATGATTCCCTCTAATCCTTATTAATATTTACTCAATTTCAATAAGGTCAATGTGTAGTTGTAGTGCGCGAAATTGAGTAATTTATGTTCTATATGGTTTAATGAAAACCACCTTGCGGCAGGAAAAACCTTGTTTATTCGCATTGTTTAATGTACAAGGTGTAGACATCTATAGTTGTTAGAATCCATACTTATACAGTATAATCAGTAACTTGTGCACAATACGCAGTCTTCACTATAATTATCTACAATATGTATTACTGCATATTTAGCCAACCTAACATTAGTCTAAACGTCTTCCACCGTAGCTTATACTCATGTCGACATTCAATAGTCTTTCTCAAGATCATTCGTTCAGCAGAGCCTTGCTCATCACATCATTTATAAAGCAACATCCATAACTTTACTCACATGTACGTATCATCTTCTTATGGCTTCACATCTGTATACTCTGAGTTCAGGTGTGTATACTCTAATGTCTACTATACGATATACTGTTTTCCATCAATCGATCTTTTTCTGATGTCCATAACATCGATTTGTTATGTCGTGTGAACATCACATCTGCTATCATATTTCATCATTACCGGGTTATCAGGTTACTGCACATATCATGCTGTTCTTATATCTCGTACTAACCTGGTATATGCTTGTTAATAGTCCTCATTTTCCAAAGTGTACCTTCCTCATGTTCAATACCAACATCTCATATATATCATGCTATCACATGTGTGCTTATATGAACCTCAACATCACATATATTATATTCTCATGTACCTAATACCACAATATTGGAGTAAACTTCTCTTGAATGGAATGTGGCAGAGTAACGATGTACGTAATACAAGAATCTTTTAAATCATCCATCTGACTCCTGAGGCTTTTCACCTCGTGGGGGACTTTTTGACCCTGACCTGTGTTGTAAAGAGTCATGAATATCTGAACTTTATCGAGTATATGGCAGGAACTCAACTACAATATTTGAGTCTCGATTAGGATTGAACTATATTTAATTATTTATATAATCAGAGACTTCGTTATGGCTGTCGTCTGGCGGCATAATGTTGCACTATACTATTCATATTTTCTTTGGGTCATAAATTGTTTTTTAAAATTTTTATCGAGTATTTGTCGGAATTTAACAGTAACATTTTGTGTATCGATTGTGATTGGACTATAATAACAATATAAATGACATCGCTCTGGCTGTCGTGAGTGTCGTGAGTGTCGTCTGATTCCAAAAAAATACATATAAACACGCGGTTAATCGGTATTTTTAATCTGTTTTGTTTTGTTTTTGTTTTTGTTGTTGTTGGAATCGTACATACGCTGATACGCATTATTTACACTCATACAGTTATTACAGTTTGTAAATAAAATAATAAATATGTTTTTTTCTTCAATAATTCTTTATTTGACATTGGTTTTTTCTAACATCAACCTCCCAATATTTTCATGCTTTTAGTTCTCCACCGATGCAAGCGGTGTTCTATAGCCATAATAATATTTTTTAAAGGCACAATATATGGTATATTTTATTAGTAAAATTTAAAAAATTAGTCGATTGGGCGGCCTTGACACCTGACGGTGGGCTACTGGGCTGGGCTTGACATATGATTTAAAAAAATTAAAAAATTAGTATTTTTATGTGCTCTAGAAATGTTTTTCTATAAAAAAAAGAACAAGTTGTTTTTTTTGTTTTTCAAAACAAATACATACCCGAAAGGTGATAAAAAAAGCTATAAATACATGTGTACTTATTTGAGAAATCTTAATGCCATCATTGTAAGAGCCACCTGAACCGCCACCTACAGATAGAGCCACCTAAATTTATCACCATTGTAAAAGCCACCTACATTCACCACCTACGCTTTTAGGGTTTTAGGGTCTAGAAACCCTACGCCTTACCATAGTATACTGTACGTATATACGCAATAAAATTGATTTATATATATATTATGATTTAATATTTATGCCTATAATACGTGTATATGTGTGGTTTGAGACATGCATCGTATTAACCGAAGCATAATCTTGAATGTATTTATTGTTCTCGCTCTCTTCAATTTACTATTACCACGATTATAGAGTCCTTCTGGCGAAGATGACTCTTCTCTTCTTCCTGCGTTACTTGATACCATACGCCAGAGTTAAATGCTTGGTATGTGTCGTAGATCAGCTCAATTACATAAAATCGTTAAGGGTTAATATTGTATATATACGTATGTATGTGTGTATGTATGTATGTATTTATGTATGTATGAATATTAGA